TCCAAACACACTCACCGTCCTCTTCGTTGAAGGCGTAGTCTCCTAGGCGCAGCGTGGCCCCACAGCGCCAGCACTGGAAACAGCTGCGGTGGAAGAAGAGTCCCTCGGCGCTGGCCCGTTCCAGGATGTAGACGCGGCGTGCACAGAAGTAGCAGGCATCACTGCTTTCTGGGCGAACTGATGTCTGTGGGAGGACAGGACGGATTGGGGTAATGTGGGGTGACCCAGTCTTTGGGGTTGGATCGTGCTGGGGGTTCCTCTTGTAGAGGAGCTCAGTTGTTGACGCAGGGAGGAAGGGAGCTGCAGCGCCTGGCTCCAGAAAACCAGTTGGGTCAGGAAATGCTGTGGGAGGAGCCGGGAGCTCATGGGCGTCTTCTGACGCAGCCCGTGTGCCAGCCCTTAGCTTGTCCCCATGCACAGGAGGAACCCCCCAAGCACAAGGTGAGGACCAACCTGTGCGGGGTCCATTGTGGCAGCAGGTTGTGCATCGTGGTCGTTATTCACAGTATTTCCAGATGGCACTGCATCGATCTAAGGGCACAGCACCAAGCAGGGTTCAGTATTCCACAGGCTGCATCACACAGAGCATCCCTTTAGTATTCAGCAGGCACCCACATCTGTGCTGTCCCTATTGCTCTTCTTGCCCTCAACATCCTTCTGCACACTGGCCTGCCAACACAAATATGGGACTCAGAGTTATGAGGGATGGCTGTGGGGAGCAACATGGGGTGATGAGGGTAGTCTTCACCTGGGTGTGCTTGTGAGCCAGGATGCAGTTCTTCTGCAGCTTGCTGAGAAAGAGGATGGCCCCTTTGGTGCCACAGGGGGACAGTGGCTTCTTGCTGAGCTCCACTGACGCTGCACAGAGGGGATGGGGACACGTTGGGGATGTAAATGGGGAGCACCCAGCTCGCCCCATGGAGGGCTCAGGGTGGGATAACCCACCCTACAATTCACACCTGGAGGAGGAGGCTTGAATGCTTCGTAGAACTGGCTGAGGTAGGTGATAAGCCCCAGGCGGTTGGGCTCAGCCATAGAGGCCATCTCAGCACTGGAGAGGATAGGCTGGATGCCCAGCTCCTGCTCTGCCACATCCAGCATCAGCTGGTGGGTGCGTATGGGGTCCTGTGGGTCCATGGCATCGAAATCCCTGCAGGGAGGGTGCATGTAGTCAGGGTGAGTGCTGTAGGGCGGGGGTCTCTGGGGCTGGGCACTTACACCAAATGGGGACGAAATCGATGGATGAGGGCACAGAGAGCCAAACCGCTGGTCCAGGAGGATGTGAAGTCAGTCACCTCCACTCCATGATACCCATCTGTGCTATCCTGGCACCAGCGCAACAGCTCCTTATAGGTGTCTCCGCAGACAGCTGGGAAGGCAGCAGCACTCATGTCCCCATCCCAACCCAAGGACACCTCCGCAGAGGTCCCCCACCCATGGCATCATGTGTTAGGTGGGGACTTTATCATGCAATGTCCCCCAGAGCTCAATCAATGAAATGAGAAAGCATCAGGAGGAGGGGAACAAACACATCCGAAAGAAAGCAGTGGGGTAGGAGCTGTCTCCACGGGGGCTGTGTCATAGAGAAAGGGATGGGGATGCAGACATTGCTGGGAGGAGCACAGTGCCTGTATGGTTTTCAAAATGAGGGGGTGGGGAGGGAAATCAGGGCAGGAGCCACTCTGCCGTGGCCTGCAGGAGAGGTCCTGGAGGTGGGAGGACCATAGGGCCACTCATACCGCTGCTGAGCCTGTTATCAATCTTCTTCTCGTGGTCCACCTCCACCTTGCCTATGAGGTAGAAGTCCCGGACCTGCCAGGGGGGACACTCAGGTCACTAATTGCACCCAACCAATGCCATCAGAGCTGGCATTGGCAAAGGGGACACCCAGACACCCCCCTTCCCTTCACCACCCAGCTGCCACAGGAAATGCGTAGCACACCTTGAGGACCTACGGCTGTGATTTCACACCCGTGGGGGACAGGGGACCATGCCAGTTAGGAGGGGACCATGTTAACTGATGGCACACAACTGGTGTCACCTCACTGATGGGTACCAAGCTGGATGGCTGCTGTCTTTCCCACCCAAGCAGGATACCCCTGGGCTGGGAAGTGGAGAGCTGATGTTCTTCACCCATACTTCAGGCCAGTACCTGGCTGGGTCTGATAGCCTGCAGGTTGAGGTTGGGGTAGCGTGTGGTGGGGTCGATGCTGTACTGTGCAACGTTCTTGTTGGTGTTGTCCGGAGAGGTCTGCGACAGGCGCTGGTAGATGCTCTCCCTGGGCACAAGGGGATGGTGCTGGGTGTCACATCCACCCTCACACCTCCCCAACACACTGAGCATGCAACCATTCCAGGGTGGACTCTCACCTCTCTGCCAACACCTCCAGAGGAGGTGTCCCGGCCGCCCACCGCCGCACCATCCATGCTGCATCGAAAGCGGCCAGGAAGCCCCGAGCCACACCGGTGCCCAGAGGCCAGAAGGGCTGTGGAGAGGAAGGTAGAGGGGTGGGGATAGGGATGGGGATGGAGCAGTGCGGCCAGTTGGGGTGGCTGGGAGGAGGCAGGGAGCAAGCAGGCTTGGATGGAGATGAAAGCAGGGAGAGGTGGCGAGGCATGGACAGAGGGAAAGATAGACATCTCCTCCCCAGCTCCATGGCTGCATAGATGCTGCTGCATGCTAGGAGGAACTGGGCTGCATCCCAACCATCTCTGATGGGTGTGGAGAAGGGATAACCATCCCCATCGATGCATCTTGCTACCAGCAATTTGGGTATGTGTCCACGGGGATAGGGTGCACTGAGCAGCTCATGGATAGGGAAACTGAGGCACAGTGCTCACCTCCACCAGGCAGTCGCCCACCAGCCCCAGCAGTAGGCGTGCTCCGTTGTGCTCCCGCACCAGTGCTGCATTCTCGGAGCGTGTCATGCAGGTGAAGTCAAACATGTCAACGTCTGGCTGGTTGCGATGGTTGAGGGCGAACTCCAGCTCAGGCAGGCAGTAGTTGGTGGAGAAGTTGGCGGCCTCCTTGGCATAGCTGAGAAGTGCATCCCAGTTCACATTGTCTGGGGACAGGAGGCTCTCAATGTCCGCTTTGTCCTACAGGGATAGGTGGGTCCAACCAGGATGGGAAGTGGCATTTGTCCCCATCCCAGTGGTGGGACAAACCCACTCGCCTCACCTGCAGGATGACGCCCTTCTTCAGCAAGCTCTGCTTCTTGGCTGTCATGACGAAGTAATGCGTATCATCCTTGTAGTAGACAATGTTCTCCAAATCAATCCCTGGTGATGAGGAAGGAGCTGAGCTGAGCTGAGCTGAGCTGAGCTACCAGTCATCCTCACCAGTAGGATCACTGTGTGGGGATATGCACCCACCACAGGGTGCATATTTGGAGCAGAACCTATGAACTTTATGGGGCCACTGCATGTCCCCACCAGTGTGGTGACCATGTGGGGACATGCACCCACGATAGGGTGCACACCTCAGGACCCCCCCCACTGACCCAGGACCACCAACCTGTTTTGTTGTAGAGGTTTTGGAAGAACTTCTGGTTGTAGATCCGGGCCACGCCGCTGATCTCAGCTACCTCCACCTCTGCCTGGCTGTAGCGGTTGATGAAGTTGGTGGTGATGCCAATGGCCAGCTTGCCCCGCATCTCCTTCCTCTTGAAGCCTTCTGGGACAAACTTGCCTCCCCCAGCCGAGATGAGGACATCAAACTCATAGTGGCTGAGGGGAGAGGAGCTGGGCTGCAACACAGCCCGCCAGCCGCCTGCGGGACAGGGGAGTCACTGGGGTCTGCTTGTATCCCCCAGATGCCACAACTCTACAGCCATGTCTTACCCTGTCCAGCTGCTTTGCCTGTTGGAAGCTGGAGGCCTTTAAATTCAACCTTGGTATGCACCTCCACACCCAGCAATAAGGCCACCTTCAGCAGGATGAGCTGCAGCTGCCGGATACCTGCAAGTGGACACAGGAGGAGTAATGAGAGCTGCACTACCTGCCCAACTCTGGGGTGCACCCAAATCACTCACTGATGTGGTCCAGTGTGCCAGTGCAGAAACGCCCGTAGAACTTCTTGGCGCCCAGCGCCCGCAGATCATGGATGGTAAAGGGCCAGAGGTGCAGCACATTGTTACGGGAGAAAGAGTCACGCTTCTCCAGCAGCACCACACGGGCGCCAAGCAGCGCCAGCTCGATGGCAGTGCGCAGCCCACAGGGACCAGCACCCACCACCAGACACTGCAGAGGGGACAGATGGCATGATGTCCCCATGGTATGACATCCCCGTGATGTGATATCCCAGCGATGTGTCATCCCCACGGTGTTACGTTAGGCTCAAGGCTAATCTCACCCTAATCCACTTTAAACCATTGCTCCATCCCTTCCCACTCCCCTCCTTCCTCCCCATGCTGCAAACAGGGTGCCATGTGGGGTGATATCCACCTCCCCGCAGGCTGAATCTTGCCTTGGTGTCATGGCAATGGTAGCAATTATGCACCAGGCAAGATAAGGAACACATGCTTTCCCTCTCTGCAGATAGGGAAGTTTCGCTGGTAGCAGACCCAGTAATGAGACTGAACTTTGAACCGCTGTCAGGCAGGAAGTGACAGTGGGGAGGACAGGTGACAGTGGGGAGATGGGGGAGATGGGGGAATTGAGGTCACCAGTCCCAGGAGGACACATGGTGTTGGGTCACTATATCCCTCCATTCTTTTGCAATCCCCACAGTGGGGATAGGATGGACACTGCCAACTGAGCAGCACCAAAGTGGCTTCGTGCCATGGGAGGACACGGGGGCTAATTAACATATCAACCCACTTCAAGACATTAAAATGCATTGCCATCCCAACTGGCACATCCTGCACCCTCCAAGGACATCCCAAAGGATGTTCCCACTCCGTGGACACAGCATAGGGACCCAACCTCACATCCCACAGCCACCTGTACCTTGGTGCGGGTGCAGGCAGTGCCCTGGTCGTAGTCCTTGTGTCCTGCTTTCTTATCCAGCTTGCTCCACAGAGCCTTGGCACTCCAAAAGTTGAGGGCAGTCTTGAGGCTGTGGTACAGCTGCAGCCCATTGCCCCGCAGCCCCAGATGTTGACACAGCTCCACAAAGCAGCTCAGTACCTCCTGGCACTGCCTGGCGCGTACGAAGTGCTCAAACAGTGTGTGGGCTGGATTGGTCGGCTCCTCATCGGGTGTACTCATCCTGGGGGGACAGCAGGGATAAGAGGAGGACCCCCAAGTGCCATCCTCCACTCCATCCCTGTAGGGATGCTGCAGAACCTGGGGTCTCAGCACAAGGTTTTTTGCAGCACGGGGTGCAGTAATCTTGATGATGGTGACACTAGAATCATGGCCCTTTCCGGCTGCACCCAGTAAGCCACGGTGTCACCGTCCAGGGTGACGTCAGGGAAGGGGACGGCTGCAACTTCCTTTGTGCTGTGTATACCTGCAGCGAGTGAGAGCACTGTTTCGGAGCAAAGATACCGCTTCCTTCCTCTTGTTGGTGAGGTCCCAGCTGCAGGAACAAACCACAGTGCCCCAAGAACAGTAAAACTACTGCTGGGCAGGAAGGGGCAGGACCCTCCTGCCCTGGTTTGAGAGCAGGATTTACTCTGTGACAGCCCGGCAAGGTGGAAGCTGCCATCCTGGAGGCAGACGGAGAGCAGAGGAAGCAATGTTGGGAAACCAAAAATAACCAAATGACACACAGACAGTCCTGGCAGCATGCAAGAAGATTTCCACCACAGCTGGGGTGTAGCACTCCCCCAAAACCCTACCCTTGCTCAGCATCTGCCCAATGCTTGCTCACTGATCTCCATGCACCTCTCCCCAGACCTGATGGCACCACACCGCTGTCCCATGCCACAACTAGCACCAAGCTCTGCCATTTCCATCCACCTCCAAACCATGGGACTGGCTGATGCTCCCAACCTGGCAGGAGAAGCAGCATGATGGAAGTCTCATCCTGCTGCACTGCTCCTCAGCTGTTCTGCTCCCTCTTTGAACAGTGAGCATTGCCCTTGCGCTGTGCCCCAGCTCCCTGAAGCTCTCCAGCCTTACCAGCGGGAAACAATGAATTTGAAGAGCTTGGGGAAACTGAGGCATCCTGTCCACAGCCAGTGGTGTGGGGCCAGGGCCATGCCCCATGCCAGGACAGCATTTCACTACAGTGCTTTGGCTTGGCAAGGAGGAGGCAGAACAACAAGATCAATGTTACTTTGAGTTTCCTATGGAAACGATGCTTGTGCTAGCAATTCATGTCCCCTTTGGTGTGCTTGAACCCCTGTACAACAACAGCTTTTAGCAGTAGTCGGAATCACTCTGGCTGCTCAGTTCCTGCAGATTTGCTGCCACCAAAGGGGGGGCAAGGCACTGAGCCTCCGCCTCTGCACTCCTCAGATGAAAGCACAAATACTTTGTTCATTTCTTCCCTTAAAGGCAGAGAGAGGAGGTGGGTTTGTAGCCAGTCCTGACTCAGTCCAGGACAACTCTGGTTGGAGCAGCTGCAGAAATGAAGCTCATAGGGAAGTCATCCAGCACCAGTGCATGCAGAGCAACCCTGGAATGGGGGTGCTCATTTGTGCTGGTGGGGGTTTCCCCTTGTCCTGACTCATGGGGATGCAGAGGGGAAGCAGCCCCAGGGTGCAGAACTGCTGGCAAGTTCACATCCTCCGGCACATGGAAACAGGGTAGGGAAGGACAGAGCAATTGCAGGCTGGGAGGGCTTCCAAAAGCACAGCTTGGCAGCTGGACCTCTCCCTCCTGCTGAGCGTGCTCCCAGCACAGACTGGTATCAGCCCAGAGAACCCATGGGCCAGGCTCCGCAGGACTACCATCAAGGCAGGATGCTCTCTGCCAAGGGTTTATGAAAGTGGGTATCAAAACCCCTTGGGATGCAGCAACCTTGTGCAGACCCTGGGGGGGTCTCAGCCACTTGCCGTGGTAGTGAGCACTTCTCCGGTACACTGTGGGATTGTTCTGCACAGGGGGTCCATAAACCACATCCTGACCACATCCCTGAGAACTTGGGAAAAAGACAACACTCAGGGGCACCAGCACCCCAAAAAGTCTTCTGAGCTCATGGGGCTCAGCCATGCCCCCCACTAAGCACCAGCCCCTCAGGTTGCACAGAGGTCACTGCAGCCAAGGGAATGGGACAGCTCAGTCCCTTGTCTAGGACAGCACTGGTAGTGCTACCAAGAAGCTGCTCTTGCTTGGGCTGGGGCTGAGATGGCTGCAGGCAAAAATAACCTGGAGTGTCCTCTCCTCTGGGCTCTCACTGCCTGAGGGGGGTAGGGTAGAGTGGGATGCCCAGCAGTGCTGCTCTGCAGCAGATGTACCCTGGAGGGACAGCAGACTTGCAAACCCCAACTTCAATTGGCAAAATGTCCCGGGGGCTCCTGCACACCAACTGAGCATCTTCCCCCTGCACCCAAGCAAGGGGCCAGGATGGGAATAAGCCTCTCCCTTTGCAAAGCTCTTCCTGCTCCATTGCTCTTGGTACTAGGAGCACCGGTGGGACTGGGAAAAGAGTGCAAGACGAGGGGACTACTCCCTTTTCCCTTAGTCCTGGTGGCAGCAGAATGTAGGGGTTGGCAAAGTGAAGACCAAGGGGAGACTCATGCAGCCCAGCATCCCAAAATAACCCCCAGGGCTTCAGCAACTTACAGTACATCAGACCGGGGCGATGTTTCCGGTGCCACTCACACAATGCGGGCCCCCTTTTACCCACATTTTCCTTGAAGCAGGAAACAGAGCTGGAAGGGGAGGGAAGCAGGGGGGGGCGGGAGGACAGCAGGGTGACCCCTTACATCCCCCTACCCACCAGGGATTCTCTGCCCATCCCCTCCCACTCACCTTCAGGTCTGCGCAGTGCGGGAACAGAGCAGAGATGGGGCTGGATGAGGGTTGAAAGTGGTTCCGGCCACCCGGTTCAATTCCTCCCGGCTACTTTCCTTCTGACTTCGTTCCTTTCCTCTCTTCTCGACTCCTTTCCTGCTGGAAGGTGGTGCTGGGATCCCAGCAGAGGGGACAGGGCTGTCTCCGGGTCTGCCCCGTTTTGTGCTGCCACAAATTGTGCTGCAATCGTGGTTTTGGAGAGCGGTGACGAAACAAAAAGCTTTGCTTTTCGTGCTGTGCTTCCTCCCCGCCCCCAGAAATAAAGCCTAGAGCCCAGCAGCCAGGTCCTGCCCTGGGTGGGAGGGATTTGCTCAGCCCCTGTCTCTAAATGAACCAATAGTATCCCCAAGCAGTGCCACTCGTGGAAAATTTTGGGACAGCACTTCCACCTTAGCTGAAGAGCCACAGGGGGATGAAGCTGCCCACTCCCCAAAGATTGACCCCAACTGGGTGGATTTTAGGATTTCCCAGCAGTGAACTCCTTGGGTTGCTGCTGTCTGCTCACCCCATGCCCCTAGTGATGGGGCTGGTGCAGTGGTGACACATGGTGACAACCTGCCACGAGGCTGCGGTGACTCAGGGACATGGGGCAAGGAAGCACATAGGGACCATGAGTCATGTGCAACAAGAAGGGACAGGTGTCCCAGTGTCTCCATCCCTCCTTGGATCCTCCCAAGAGTCCCACAACAGGACCATCACCCATGGCCCCACTGCTTGGCTGGGCTGGCTGGAGTCCCCCAACCCCATGCAAAACCCCCAGAGTTCACCCATGTTTTGGAGGTGTGGATGCAGAAATGAGGTGCCTGTGCAGAACTGGGGCTGGTGTCAGCCATGGAGCTGCTTCTGACAGCTCCCTTTGTGAGCACTTTGTTCTGCTACAAAGAGGTCGAAGTGCTAATCAGTTCCTTCCAGGTGTAGGTTTGTCCCTTGGGGGGGCAGATGTAGAGAATTAGCATACATCTTAATTAAGGCAGAAAAGGAACTGGAGGTACAGATCCTTCCTCTCCCTGTGTGCCCATGCTGGGGTTGAGGATGCAGGGGAAGGTGTTGGCATTCCTTACAGTGCAGGGACAAAGGGAGCATACCTGAGACACAGCCCTAAAGCAAATCCACGGTGGTCATGGGCACTGTCCCCAAGGGAAAGGGGACATGCAAGGGACATCCCTGTATCCCTCATTGTGTCATTAGAACCAGGAAACTCTCACAGGGCTGCAGGCTGATGCAGCTTTATGCCTCCAAGCTCCAAGCACAGAACGTCGCCCTTTGCTCCAGCATCAAAACTCCCCATTTTTTTTTCCTCCAATTTTATTTTTCTAGGGTCTCCGTGGTTTTGGTGGGAGAGCAGGGAGGGAGGAGGGGGAAAGAGTGTCAGGAGGAGCAGTGATGGGGAGTGGGTGCAGCTAAGCTTTGGGTGATGCTGCAGGCTGCAGCCGCTGCAGCTCCAAAAGGTGGAGAAGGAGGAGGAAGGCGACGCTCAGGAGAAGCAGGCAGAACACAACCCAGTAGGGCTGTGAGATGAAGAGCCACGGCTGCCACAGCTCCACAGAGGACTCCTTGGACCTAAGGACAAGGCAATAAGGGACATCCTTCACCCAAAGGGCACAACACTTGTCACAAAGCAGGGACAAGATTTAGCCCAAACCTGGATGAAACAAGAGTGAGGAAGGCACAGGTGACTCACAATGCATGGGGAAACTGAGGCAGGGCAGGTTCAGAGGGACAATCACAAAACTCCATCTCCCAACATCCCACCTCCATTCCCACATGCTGGCAGCACTGGGACTGCAGAGCCCCAGGGATGAAGGGTGTTGCTCACATCATCCTGAGCTGCCCCAGCTCCTTGCCCCCTGCGATTGATTCCAACTGCTTGCCACCTGCTTCCACCACTAGCCCCTCGCACACCAGCTTGCCCTGGCTTGGTGGCTCCAGTTTGCTCCTAGGGAGGGAGAAATGGGACACTGTACCCCATGGGATGGTGGCAGACAGAGCCGTGTGGTCCCCCCACCCTTCCGCTCACCCAGCACCATTACCTCTGGGTGCTGGTCTGGTGTTGGGCACCCTCAGGCCCGCCAGCCAGGGTTGCTCGGCCATCCACGCCAGAAGCTGGCTGGGCACCAAAGGAGGGAACGTGAGCACCCAGACCTGATGGTACCGAGTCCGTCTGTCTCCACTGAGCATGTCCTTACCAAGAGCTGCTTTGGGATGACAGCAATGCTGACTCGGCGGCGTGCAGATGACTGTGGGGAACGGAGGGGATAGGGTGAGCACAGTGCTGATCTCTCCCCACATTTCCCAACCCCAGTGTGAGCAAGGGACAAGGAGGAGGAAAAGGGATGCTGCCAGCCTCCCATCAGTAGGTGATGAGAAGAAGGGGCGTCAAAGCCAAGAGCATTGTGCCTGTTCCTGCTGTGCCAAGCAGTGCCACCTAACCCCTCCTGAGCGCTCCCCTACCTCATGAGCTGTAGGGGAAGAAGAGACGAATTCAAGCTGGAGCTAGAGAGCAGCCTCCTCCCCGTCAAGCCCTGCAATGCAGAGGGACTGCCTGAGGTCTCCAGGCCAGCAGCTCTCCCCTACATTTTGCCCCAGTGCTTCTAGCAAACCTTGCCTACAGCAGTGGCTAGGAAGAGGGATGCTGCCCTGGGGGGAGCAGTGCTTGGGTATAGCAGGGAGAAGGATGTTTGCAGGGCATGAGGTGGTACTGGGAGTTGGGAGGCGTGCTGTACTGCCATTACCTGCTGGAAACCTCGCATCAGGGGGTGAAGCCTCAGCCGCTGCTCTGCATCATCTGGAAGAAAAGAGAAGAAGCCTCATGTTGCCTCCAGAAAGAAAAATGGGGCTGACGTGCAGGCAATCATGAATGTCCTTCATGTTGGAGGCAGACAAGACCACATGCTCTCGGCTTGACATAAGCCACAGGTGTGCCCAAGCAGGGGGAACTGCTTGTACACACACACTGTGCATGGGGTTTGCAGGGACAAGGCACCCTTTGTGTGCCCCCACTCTGAATTCCCCAGTGGTCTGCAGAAGAGCCAACAGCACCTGCTCCCACTCTGTGGCTGCTGTTACATGCACCCCTCACATTTGTCATCAGGTCTGGCAGCTGCAGCCCCAGCTGTCATCCACCCCCGGTCCCCAGCTGATGGCTCCACAGCACAGGATCATGCTGTCTACAGGGGGGGGTTAGAACTGAATTCTGCAGTGTTGCCTCCCTCAGGGGTGAGACCACCTCACCCTGGGTCTCTGCCAACTGCCGGTTGCGGGAGTTCTGCTGGATCAGGCACTTCATCTCCTCTAGCTCAGCGTGCTCACGCAGGTGGTGCCGCTTCAGGTTCTCCACATGCTGGACCATCACCTCTGCTGCTCGGCTCATCCGTGCCTCCTGTGTCCGGGAGGACCAGCCATCGGTTCCCAACGTCCCCATGGACGATGCCCCCCACTAGCTCTCTCTGGGTGCAAATCATCCCCTTCCCACTCCCAGGATACCCCAGTGTGTGCCAACAAAACCCACAGGAGCACTGGGAGGAGGAAGCACAGCCCCCAGCGATGCGTTCCCAGCACCTCCATTTCTCACCCACCTGGTGGACAGCTCCCAGCTTCTCTGCAGCACTGGTGGCACGCTTGATGGCAGCTGCCAGCACAGCCAGGCTGCACTGCAGCTGCTCCAGCACCTCCTTGCAGCTCACATCCATGCAGGATGCAGTCAGCCTCTGCAGGGGGAGAGCATGGATCTGCTGGAGCTGGAACTTGGAGTTGCCCAAACCCTTCTATAGCTGGAGATCCCCAGCAGACATCAACCCCCTCCAGTGCCCACCTACCTCCAGGAAAGTCCGGCACTGCCCCAGCTCCTCCTGAATGTTTTCCTCTGCTGCATCTTGTGCTCGCTTCTCCACCTGCACTCGTTGCTGCAGGGTGAACATGTCGCAGCGAAACGCCAGGGCGAGGTGGGCAAAGGCTGCCTGTAGGCAGGAGAGCAAAGGACTGGGACATGAAAGGGAGGCCGCTGGGGCCATGCATGGCTGTCCCCAAGACACAGCCAGACTCCCTTTCGTGGGCCATCGGGCAGTGCTCCATGAGGACCATCAGCACTACGTGTCTCCAGCACTCATCAGGACACTGCACACTGGGGGCAGACTCTGTGAAATGCCACAAGATGGGGACATCCCCTGGCAGCCAACAATGCACTGGAATCCCAAGGCCTGCTGGTACTAGGATGTGGTGGGCAGACACCAGCTCTTGCTGTAGGTCACGGTTGGCATGCAGGGCAGCAGAGCCTGACTCAGCCCTAGCACTCACAGAACAACTATTTTTACGATGAGGCTTCCACTGCCTCCCTGCTCAGGGAACTCGAGGAAAAATTTGAGGGATTACTGGGTGCTCATCGTGCCACAGAAATGGAGCTGAATCCAAATGGCAACTGCATCACTGTCAAGGGACTGCAGATCCTGGGAGCAGGACACAGTTCCCCAGCTGGGATTCAGTAGAACATCGGTCTCTTTTCCCCTTTCCCTAGCCCACCTGCAAGCCCTCACCTCCACGTCCTGCTCCGTCAAATTTGTGCTGCAGAAAGAGAACAGCTGTCAGAGCTGGAGGCACAGTGCGGACTGCATGCCAAAATGCCCTTGGTCCACCTCCAGGGGTGCCTCAGGACCCCAGTTCTACAGCCCCCAGCAACGACGCAGCCAGTCACCCCTTTACCTGTGCAGTCCCAATTTCTCCAGCACTGAGAGCTCACTGGGGAAACTCGGCAGCTGCTCCTCTGGGGTTTCTCCATCTGTGGGAAGGATCATATGTGGGGGCTTTTGCTTGGTCTTCCCTCCTCCCTCTCATCCTCCCATACAGGTGCTAGTAGGGTGGGAACGCCCCATCACTTCTTCCAGGAGGGTCGGTTCCCATGTCCCCATCAAGGAAGCTGAACCCTGTCAGGCCACACAGTTCCCATACTTGTCCCCAGTCACTTCATGCTCCACCAGAAGGGCATCCAGCCTAGGACATGACATGGTGATTCACCCACCTTCCTCAATCCCATCATCATCTCCAGTGCAAAAAGCCAGCTCCGTGCCTGGTTCCTGCAAAAGGGCACTTTCAGACCAATCCCCTTCCTGGTGCTGAATGGCATCCTCCCCCAAAAAAAGCATCACTGAGTAGCTCTACAGTCCCAAACCCATTGCCCTCCTGTCCTCCTCACCTCACTGACGCTCTCCATGCTCTCCTTGCTCCCAGCCAAAACCCTATCCAGGTGCTCCTGGGGACTGATCATCCTCCCTGGGGACAGAGAGAGTGGCAGCAGTGTGGCAGCATCCCCGTGCCAGCCTTAAGATCCCCAGAACCTCCAGGATGCTGGGGCGCGTGGGCTGGCAGGTATCCCCCAAAGTATCCCTCATGGGATTAAGGATGTCCCCATCATCCAGGAGGAGCTGTTGGAAAGCAGATAAGGGTCACAGGACTGGAGGGGACATGATAATGCAGGGAGGTGCTGCTGGGATGAGGGACCCCCACCCGGACCCATGCTATGCTGCCAAGGGAGAGTGGAGGCACAAAGCCACTCCTTCCCACCACCCCCACCCCAGATATCTTTACCTTCATCCGGAGCTGTGAGGAGCCTGGGTGGCTCTGCATGCTGCTCCCTACAGAGAGGAACTAGAGTAAACCCGAAAGCAACACTGGCAGGAGAGGCAGCATCCTACCCGCAGTGCCCAGGACCTTCGTCCTTTCTGGGCATCCTCCGCAGCCCACTCCATCCCCATTGTCCCTGGCATGGGCGTAGCAGCTCTCCCTGTGCCTAACAGCCCTTCCATTGCAGAGGAGCCAGCAATGAGTCACCGGCCTGCAGCAGTGCTTCTTAGCACATTTATTTTGTCCTGACTGCCAGGCAGATCTCACTGCCAGCTGGCCTCCTTGCAGGCACAGCACCAAAGCTGGCTTGTGCCACTGCTATGGGGACAGCAGGCTTTATCATGCGGTCACTCCCCCAAAATCTTGCCCCATGTTCACAAAGTTCTAGCAGATCCATGGAGCCAGGGATGCTGTAGCATCACAGTGCATGGAGACACAAGGGCTGCTATGCAAGCAGCAAATATGTCAGAGCCCAGCACCCAATTGGGGAAGAGTTTGCACTCCCAAACTTTGTTCCTGGCTCCAGGCAGAGCTCAGCAGCACTTTTCCCTCTCCTCCCTGCAATTTGTTCCCAGGAGAGAAAGCATTGCTGCACCAAAACAAGGCTGAGCATTACATCTGGCACTGCCGTCCCTATCCTAACCCTACCAAACTGGTGCACATACCTGCTCTGGTGGGGGCTCTGCCAGCTGCCCCTGCACTGTTTCCGTGCCACACGCCCCTGGGCTTGTCCCTGCACCTCTTTCCCTGCTCCCAGTGAGGTGTCCACCCGTGGCTTCATCTGCACAGCACAGAGGCTCCGGGATCAGTACACCTATCATGAGAGACACGTATTAGCCATGCACAGATGGGAAAACGCCTCTAAATGTTATATTTTTAAAATGTTTTCTCACCCAGCGGCAGTGCGGAGGCATTTGTGGGTTGCAGGAGGATGTCGCTGGGATGGGCATGGGGAGAGGCAAGCGAGGGATTTACATCAAACCACCTCTGTGCAGCGCTGAGGATGGGCTTTCCCTTCCACTACCCGTTTCCCACCTCCCACCCATGATTTCCAACATCAGCAGCACGACCCTCACCCCTCCGTGGGATACATTTGCACTCCCTGCCCGGTGCAGAGAGGAAGCAACCTGGGCTGGGGTCATCCCAAGCATCCTGGCAGGCAGGCTCCTGTGCAAATAAATGCATGGGATTCCCACATCCCTTCTATAAGTAAGCTCAGGTATCTCATTTGAGTTATTTTCCAATGTTTAAACAACAGAGAGAAAGATGGCAGTAAGCCCAGAGAATCCCTGTTGGTCCCAGGAGCTGAGCCTGAAGAAATGCAGCTATAAGGCAGAAGGAAATTTATTTCCTTTTTTTCTGTTTATTTGTTCTGGTCAGGATACAAAATGAAGAACAGATTTAAGGGGCTGACTATGTGGAAAGCCTCAGCTGAGCCCAGCCATCCCCCTTCTCCCAGAGATCAGTCTTGATCTAGGAATATCTAACAACTTTCACATGCATTGGGAGTTGTCCCCAGAACCTCTGCCTAGGGGTCCAGGAACCCCAAAAAAACAAGCAAACTCATCCCATCAGTGAGCATCAGTTTCATCCAGAGGGGTAGTCCCTGCTGCAAAGCATCAACTCTGGGACAGCTGTGGCAGACCCTGGAGCCTGCTGCTTTACCCCGTCTCACCCACCCACCCCATATCTTTGCTTCATAACGGGAAACACTGAGTGCAGTTCATTGAGCAGCATAGCTTCAGTAACACCCAGGCAGCCCCGCTCTCCCTTGGTTCACTGACTTCACCAAACATTCCCCAGGTCATTACCTGCCCGAATCCGTGCCAAAAGGCCCCAGCTCAGTCCCAGTCCTCTGCGCAGTCAGGACCCTGGGGATGGGAGCCAGGGCACCAAGCAGTGCACACTGCCAGCAGCACAGCAATTGCATCTGTGGCAGAAGGAGCTGCCAAGGGAACAGCTTGAAGGGAGAAGGCCTTTAAAGGACATGCACGAAGCAGTCAGAGTTCCCCATGCAGGGCCAGGCTGGGTGCTGCACAGGTGGCCTTTCATCCCCTGTATGGGGGCTAGAGGGGAAAAGCTGAGCCTCAGCACCAGTTGGAAGTCCCCACACCTTCACACAGGGCGCAGCATGAGGATACACCAGGACAGCTTGTATGTGGTGATATGGGGAAGCCCCATCCCTTCTCTCACCCTGTTTCACCTCAGTCATCAACCTCAATGACCCTTTCTCTGCTTGACCTCTTTGATCAAATCCACTACATCCCCAAAGCTGCTTCCTTCCCTAAGGAGCTTACGTGGAGTCAGATTTGATACTCAGCACTACAGAGGACCAGCCTGCAGGCAGGCAGGCACTGTTGTCTCCCTCATCCCATGTCCCCACTGCAAGTCTCTGGGGGTCTGCCAATCTTCAAAGCTTTCAGAGGGCAGCCAGCAAACAGCATCTCGTCATCCGCAGCAGGGCTGGCCCAGCTTTGTACTAGCTGCTGAGAGCTCAAGGGCTCAGCCTCACGGCCACAGAGCAAAGAGAGCTGGGAGAGGCCACTAGCAGCTCTGAAGCAGAAGCCGGGCTGTGCCAAAGTAGGATGGAGCCTGAACGTGGCCATCAGCAGCTCTTATGGACACAGTTAGTGGACATGGGGTGATGGCTGGACTCTATCTCAGAATTCTTTTACAATCTTAATGATCCCCCACCAAGATAGGGTTGCGAATGCCCCTGAAGCTCCAGCGATGGATTTTCCCTCCTGGGGTCATCACTTTCTGCTTTGACCCGACCCCACAGCAGAGCTGATGAGAAATCATGAGTCACTGTATGGGAAGGAGAGCCCCACATCCCCAGCAATGCAAGCACTGTTGTGCATGATTAGCACCAATTAATGACAATTAGCATGTTATAAGCTCATACTGCCAGCTCCAGGAAGACACAGGAGCCCAGCAGAAGCTGCAGGAGTGTGGGAAATAGCCACGGACATGCCAAAAGGAAAGCTGGCACTGCAACCCCCTCCCTTACACAGCCTTAAAATTTCTCCCTCAGGATCTCCTCCCTTCCCTATCTCTCTATGTTAAGTTTGCTGCCCACCTCCAAGAGTTTCAAGGTGCAAAGAATGGTCACTTGTGCTTCTTTCCAGAGGAGGATTTGCAGTGAGCAGAGGATGTTGGTCTGAGCTGTGAGAGGATGCCTGAAGTTTGCAGGGTGCAACTATGCAAGTCCAACCAGAGGTAGTGGAGCAGGTCTCAGAGCAGCAACATCTCTCCCATTCCTCAACATCAGTGCTTTCCCGGCTGCTCAGCAAGCATCTTCAAAGGTAGAGGAATGGTCCTGGTAGAGACAGGTTTACACAAGCATTACTAGCACACTTCTGGACACCTTCTTGCCTTCAAAAGCAGAGTCCCAAGCACCAAAGACCCCTCCTTTGGGCTGAGACCCAAGTGGCAGAGCACCTGCACACTGCAGTGACATTCCCCTCCTCACTGCCTGGCTGCGTGGGTCTAACCTGTGCGTTTTGTTGCTGATGCTTTTTCTAGCCCAGCACAATGTCTCTTGAGAAGAGATTGTTGAGAACAGAGCCCACAGCCAAGATTTGTATAGCAGAGCATGAGGCAGAGCAAGCAGAACATAAAAAAACAACTATCCCTGAGGACAGGCAGAGGCTGGCAAGCTCAGGGGTTGGAGGACAGGCACCCCTGCATTTACCAGTGCTTTCCCACCAGAACAGCTTGGGTCACGCTGGCCCCATCCCTGCAGGTACCCTCCTCCCCTGTGAGCAGCAGCCTGACACTGGGCAGGCTCCACAACTTCTGCCCCTATATCCTGGCAGGTGCACAGCTGCAGAATGTGGCTTCAGCAAACACATGGACACATCACCTTGTCAGCTGCCCATGTCAGGAGAGAGCTTTACACAAGCAAAAGCAGCCTGGCTCCCCGCACACCAATCTGCTCAGAGAGAACAACGCAGAACAAGACCCCACCAGGACATCTCCAGCTCCAAGAACAGAGCAGCAGTGAAGGTCCCACAGCAGCTCATGGTGCTGACACCTTCCCCAAGCTCCTCTCGAAACTGCCTCAGCTTGTTCTCAGATGGCAGGGACAGTGATCATCTGGATTATCCACTTCTCAGCTTGGGAAGAAAGCTGTTCAGATCCACACTGGCTGCTGCTGCAAACATGATTTATGAGGTCAGTGCAGGGGCCTGGTCCTGCAACCAGTGTAAAACTAAACCCCAGCCCTTGACCATGACCAGCAAACCCCAGCGAAGACCAGCTCTGTCATGGTTTGGCTTGGCTTGGCCGAGTGTCCAAGACAAGGGGGCAAAGTGACACACATATTTATGTTCCAGGAAGGGGGCAGAGAAGGGAAAAGGTAGGGAGATGAGCCTAGATGAGGAAAACAGCTGCAACAAGCTAAAGAAAAAAACCTTAGTTCACTAAATATAGTAGCAAAATATGAGATAAAATATAATACAATATGATTGCAATTGAAGCTAATAAATCATGTAAAATAAAAAGAAAATGAGAGAGTTTCCAAAACTGACATCCTTACTCTAATGCTGCAGGCAAAGCAGACAGGGAGCAAAGAGAGTAGCCTTGTGACTCCCGGTCAGCTTTGTCTTTCCTCCAAAAGGAAAATGGAAGCAGAAAAATGAAGTCTTCTGGGAATTGTAGTTCATGCTTCTCTTCTGGGACCAGGAGACTGGAAGTATCGACGATCCATAGAAATGGAGCATTAACTCTTTAACTTCCAGGGCACTGCCAGATGTTATGATGTGGAATACTGATGGAAAACCATAAAACCATAAAGACAGTCTCCTCTCCTGAAGTCCAGGGAAGTTAACTTGCTGTGTCCCCTCGTTGCTGCCCTAAGGATTTTTTTTTTCTTTTTTTTTCTTTTTTTTTTTTTCTGTTCCCCTTCCTCTTCCAACTTCGTGTTTTTCCCCTGTCCTCAAGAGGAAGAAGGAAAGGATCCCAGGGACTGCGCCGCGGGTCCGCGTCAAGCCCATTGGAGAAGTTCTTTGTGGTCTCTGCTGCCACCGCGTGGCCAAACCGGGGAACCGCTGCCGCCACTGCTCGGGGCAGCAGGCAGAACGACTCATGCGCGAGCCATGCGGAAGAGGAAAACTACGTTCTCGTCGCTCTGCACAGCTTATCTACCAATCACTACTATGCTCAGTCCTCCAGACAATAGTGCACACGCACTCAAGTGATTAAATAGCACCCGCATTCACCAAGCCTCTGCGGAGCGAGAAGTGAATTCTTGGACCTCCGGCTCACACTCTCCCTCTTTCTAACCTAGGATGCTCACTGTCTATTTCCTCGGGCGGTTTTATGGCGAGCCCACCCCAGCAACAGACCGCTTTTACTCCCAGCAGACCCAGCACCCCACGCGCCACCCGATTGGATCAGCGTTGCAAAAAGACTCGCGCATGCGTATTGTAGTGTCAACACAGGAGCACGTGTAGAGGCGCGTCATGGAACAGCGCATGCGTAGTAATACGCCTGGATTAACGAAAGCGTAATAGCTCGTCGGAACCTACGCATGCTTACTGCAACGCAGGGAACAGCGCATGCACTCGTATTGGCGCATGCGTATTGCTGTGAGAAAACATGCGCATGCGAATGGCAGCGTATTTGCACTCGTCTAACAGAACAAGCGCATGCGTAATACTACGATGAAACAAGCGCATGCGTAGTAACGTAATTGGAATGGCGCATGCATAATACTGTTATCAGTCTTGCACATGCGTAGTCCCTTAAAAAGAGATGCGCATGCGCAGTACCGTGTCTAGCTAATCGCATGCGCGGTCACGCATCCAAACTTGCACATGCGCTCTAGTGTAACTCAATCGGCGCATGCGTAGTG